CAAAAAATGCAGTACGGCAATACGTTTTTGCTGCCGAGGACTTTTTTTGCTTTTGCGCACTTGCGAAACTCATTATCGAAAATAGATATACTAAGGTCGCTTCGACTCTTCATACTCGTCTATGTCTACCAGGTACCTATGTGCTTTCCGCCATCGAAGTTCGAGTGGCTCGAAAGTTGCATGGCCCAGTCACTGTATTGTTGGTTGACTGCGACTATGTGTGCATAGCTTCCACGGCCGGATGCTAATGGCTGGATGAGTATCCTTTAAGGGGTTTCTTCTGGCCTCATTTTGCGCTTTTTGTTGTGAAGCCACATCCGATCCGACAATGTCTTTGAACTATAGATCATCACCCCTCGTGGCTCCATATTATATTTCGCAGCGCATCTCCGGTCAACTTCGAACCTCTGCAGCTGAGTAGGATCAAGCCTAGCGAGGGGTGTCTGTAAGTTGATCCAGGCTTCTTGTCGCCAACTCACACGAAGGTACTCACACGGCGGTACCACCTACGTACTATTCTGGCATCGCTACCCACAAAGCAGGCATCTTAGATTCCTGACACATTCAACTGCTGGAGCTCTTTGGACTTTGTTCGCAACCAAGGCGTCGGAACTGGGCGAATCAGGGCAATGTCTGTTTTCTCCCAGATTGTAGTTCACGAAGTCGATGTTACCATATCAGCCTAGAATCAGGATCCCTATCGGCGTATTCCATCACCTTTTCTCCAAATGATGGTGGTAATGCCGATAGCAGTGGAGACGAAAAAACCCGCCCTCATCTAGGTGACATTGATATAAGGCCTTGCCTGCTCCGAGCTGCTCTCTGAAGATTTCGCATAACTGCAGCAGCACGCATAATGCGTCATGAAGAAGCTGATCGGTTTGGGCTTTATTGACATGTCATCTTAACATGGAACGGCTGGAAGCTTTGTTGGACCGCAGATGGCTACCAAGACAACAAGAAGCTGCCCCTCCTATCTAGGAACTTCGTTATTGGCCCGGAATAGATATGCTCCTCTTGCCCTCAATGAAGTTTTGCCATGGATGGCAGGGTTGCTACCTACTTCGGTCTGCTATAAGCTTGCCGCCGTCTCATCAAGGGACACATTAGAAGGGCCTTTGGGGATCTCCCACCGCCGATCTTGGTGCCTTGCCCAATGGGAGCTTCTAGATCGAGCATGAGACGGGAGGACACGTGAAGTAAGGACCCTGAGAGAAAGGAGATGTGCAGCATGTTTGGGAAGCATATGTCTGGTATTTTACGTAGTGGCATGGTAGATCTGGAAGTGGCTGTCGACACCCGGAGCTCACTTCAGTCCCAAGGGTACCCACACCCGCCAACGCCACCCGGGGAGCCGGGGAGGAGTGCCTACCAACGTCATTTTTGCGCCGTGGGTGGTGGGGGGGCGATGGGAAAGGGCTGGGGGCCACGGGGGGGTAACCCACACAAAGCGCCGGCCGATGAGCGGCTGGATACGTTTTTGCGGTCTGGCCATGGGTATTTTCTTTGGCTTTGCGCGCCTGAGTTATGTCTAGGATGGTGGGAGGTGGGAGAGACAAGTGAAAAGGGAAAGCGTCACACAGACAGATGACCGTCCGGCCCTGCCAGATGACGACCGGACCCGAAAGTGGGTGGCGGTGCTTGTACCGTTCCCCGTTTTTTTTTTTTGGCTTCCACGGGGTCTTGCCAAACGAATTGTTTGGTGAGGTGCACGAAGTACTTCGTAGAGAGCACGTACCCTTACCCTTAGTTAGGTAGCTGCCTGAACCTCTCATAATACGTCTGCCTTTCCTTGCATCAAAAGATGAGACCGCTGGGTTGCAGTTCTCGACACTAATGCAATTCCGACCTTTTGCAAAACATACAGCTGCTGCCTTGAAGTCAAAACGGACACTTTTTACTTCATCCGACTACAACTCTACTTCAAACTCAACCGGCAACACTACTTGAGTGAGGAGAAGAACCAGCTTCCAGAACACATCTCATCGAACGCCATCTCATCTCCATACCTACCACCGAGGAAGAACCAAAACCGTCTTATATTCGCACACAACCAAATACCCTTCTACCACAGCCTTCCTTCAAACCCCCACATTTCACAATGGGAACACCGTTCGTGTCCCTCCTGGAGCCGACCCGGCTCGACGCCTACATACGCGGCGCGCCGCACGACGAGCAGCCGGCGACGATACCAAAGGAGATTTGCGACGCCATGGAGGTGCGCGAAGCCGTCTTCGTCGCTGAACAAGGCGTCCCCGCCGAGAACGAGTTCGACGCCGACGACAGCCGCGCCTGCCACTGGGTCTCGTACGCGTCCGTCAATAAAGTCGTCGAGCAGGAGGTCCTCGACGACGCCGGCAACGTCGTCCGGCCCCGCCGCAGCAGCACCCGCAGCACGCCCATCGGGACCATCCGCCTCGTGCCATTTCCCCACGCCCCGCACCCCAAGGACGGGGGCGTCTACTGGGACGGGGTGTTGAAGGAGGATCCGGCGGCAGCGGGGGAGGCTGCGCCGAACGGGGAGAAGAAAGCGGGAGGAGACAAGGAATCTTCAGAGTCGACGAGCAACCCCGTGGAGGAAAGGGCCGAGAGCGCGGCGGAGCACGTGGGCGAGGAGAGGCGCATGTCGGCGACCAAAGTCTTTGCGCCGGACCGCGCGACGGCGCTGCACGACGGGCGGGAGCCGTACGTGAAGCTGGGCCGGCTGGCCGTGGTCAAGGAGTTTAGGGGACACCGGATCGCGAGGCTGCTGGTCACGACGGCGCTGGCGTGGCTGCGTGAGCACCCGAGCTACTTTGATCCCAGTATCAAGGAGATGGGACTCGAGGCGATCGGGGCGACCAGCGCAGAGGAGGTGCCCAAGTGGAGGGGGCTCGTCTGCGTGCACTCGCAGGCGGCCGTGGTCGGCGCGTGGGAAAAGTTTGGGTTCCGGGTCGACGAGGAGATGGGGACTTGGTGGGAGGAGGGGATCGAGCACAAGGGTATGTTTATGCGGTTGGATGTTGAGGAGGAGAAGCCTATCCTTTGAAGAGGAAAGGATGAAACAGTGATGCTTGGCTGGAGGTTGGCCGCTTAAAAGGAGAGAACAGAAGGCTGGGAAGGGCATCATCGCCTGGCTTAGCAATGATTGATGATGGGGTCTGGCTGATCGAGATGGGGGATCTCTGATGGTTTACGATACCCCATGATGATGGCTTTCTGCTTTTGGACCAACGTCCCTTAATAGTACTTGGTAGTTTCGTCAAGACGGCATGGACATGTCGAGTTCGCACATGCATTCACAAGGTACTTATGACGGAGGACGAAGCAGTGACATGCTATGACGTTACGACGTCACCCAGGGTGGGCATCTCATACAGTCGACGGCGACGATACTGGGGAGGAAGTAAAGGGAAATATCATTCTCATCTCACATTAGACACCGTGGGGAAACGCCGGGGTTTTGTTCATTTGCTCTTACGAGCTTCGGCTTTTATTGGAATAAACCACCATTTAAGCCGTGAAGAGACAAGATGCCGTAGCAGCTGCGTTCCCCCATTTCCCCGAAACGCGCGCAAATGCAAAACAAAAAGGGTCACCCAGCGCAAGACACCGCTTTTCTTTTCGTTCATGGATTGAAGAAAAAAGACGTTGAATTGCCCTGTTATGTAATACCACGCCTCCGATTTGATTTGTCCCCCAGAAAGCAGTTTTTTGACGTCTCGATAGAGAAATAGGGAAAAGGGGGAGGTTGTAGATGGAACCCCCATTTTTTCAACAGGTCTCCTCCACGTTTTTGTTGCCCGCCCTTTCTTAGCTCCCTCCTCCCCTTTCTCTCATTTCTCCAAACCAAGCGTGTTCACTGGGAACGAGCATGAGAAGATTATTGCCTTATCCCACTATTTCCCGGGGAAAGAAAGACAAGAACCACCCACAGTCCCCAGACACACGCCTCTCCAAATCCCGGCAGCAGAGTTTCATAGCCCTTTCCACGAGGGGTAAAACACCATAGACAAAAGGGAGTAACGAAAACCCTTTACCGGTTGGACTTGGCGACACGCTCGAGCTCGTCCTTCTTCTTGATGGCGTAGGAGTTGCTGGAACCCTTGGCGGCGTTGATGAGCTCCTCGGCAAGGCACTCGGCGATGGACTTGACGTTGCGGAAAGAGGCCTCACGGGCACCGGTGGTGAGGAGGGCGATGGCCTGGTTAACGCGGCGGAGGGGGGAGACATCGACGGCCTGGCGACGGACGGTACCGGCGGAACCGATACGGGTAGAGTCTTCGCGGGGACCGCAGTTGACGATGGCGTCGACGGCGATCTGGATGGGGTTCTGGTCGGTCATCAGGTGGATCTGTAGTCGCATGTGTTAGTCTTGTGTGTTATACCTCCTCATTGTGTCTGCAGGTCGGATTGGCAAAAGAGGTTTTTTGGCTTGTGGGTGCGGTCTCGGTAGGGTGGGTGACATACGATCTCGAAGGCGTGGGCAACGATGCGGACAGCCATGAGCTTCTTTCCGTTGTTGCGGCCGTGCATCATGAGGGAGTTGGTGAGACGCTCAATGATGGGGCAGTTGGCCTTGCGGAAGCGCTTGACAGCATAGCGGCCAGCGGAGTGGGTGACATAGACGGGGTTGCGGAGGGAGATGTAGTCACTATTTGATTCGGTTCGCGATTAGCTTCCTGAATTCTCCAAGTCCCAAGTTTCCAATTGCAAGTCCTCCGTTGAATGGTATTTCTCTTATTGTCGTTGTAAATCGCGTTCCTACGCAAAGAAAGAGGAAAAAAAAAGTGCTGAGAGGTGGACTCACGTCAGAGAGATGTCCCGGACCTCAACATCGTAATCCCACTTGTTGAAGAGCTTGACGTTGCCGACCTCCTTGACAACGTCCTTGGGGAGGACATCGTAGTTGCCCACGCTCTCGACCTCGATATCGCCGCCGTCAGACATTTTCGCTCGACCTTTGGGGGGTTAGTAGACCTTGTTGGGAAGGAAGATCGAGAAAGGCTTGGGGTGGGAAAATGTGGTGGTCGTGGGTTGAAGTTGTCCAAGTGCGAAAGTACGCCGCAGAGTGGGTTTCGATTTTTGCCAGCTCGCTCCTCGAAAACCGTGACTTTGGTGCACAAGGAACGGAACCACCAAGGGCTTTTGGTCCGGGCTCTGGTCCTCTTCGCTGGGCCACTGGGCGAAATATTTTTTCAACCCGCGATGGTGGTGGTGTGCACCCAATCAGAGCCTTCAAAGCAGGCAAAGTGGACCCGCCCGCGTGCAATTTGTTAGGGTTGGCCAACCCTCCAACCGAAAGGCCTGGAGGGGTGGTTCTGGAGTGGCACCTCTTCCCGCAACCTCATACAATTGAAATTCCTACTCCCGACGACCTAGGTGCCTTTGGTATTCCGACCGACGACATCACAAATCAGACAAAATGGTACGCACGCGAAACGACGCCCCTCCCCCCGTGTGCGCGACGCACAAATTCGCGACTTGGCCAGATCACGATGCTGACTTGAATTGGATGTAAAGGCGCCAGCTGCAGGAGCTAAGAAGCAAAAGAAGAAGGTTCGTCGCAAACCCCGTGTTCCCATAAATGTGTCTTGAAGTGATAGAATGGCTGACCTCGTCCCGATAGTGGTACGTATGATCCTATGCACACACGCACAAAGAACTTGTCGAAATATCCCCCAACGATACGCTACCCTCGGACGCCACTGCCTCTCTATCATCCATCGACCAACCGACTTACCCATCGTTATAGGTCCAAGGGAAAGGTCAAGGACAAGGCCCAGCACGCCGTCATCCTCGACAAGGCCACCTCCGACAAGCTCTACAAGGATGTTCAGTCCTACCGCCTGGTGACCGTCGCCGTCCTCGTCGATCGTCTCAAGATCAACGGCTCCCTGGCCCGCAGATGTCTTGCCGACCTCGAGGAGAAGGGCATCATTAAGCCCGTTGTCCAGCACAGCAAGATGAAGATCTACAGTATGTCGAACCCATAGTGCTACGAGAGAAATCTACGGAGGAGCAGCAAAGCTAACAATCACCACCAGCCCGTGCCGTCGGTGGTACTGACTAAACCCGCTCAGCCATTGAACGTGGAACGCGTGACGACAAAAACAAAAAGCAACGGGAATCAGGGACGGATTTGGTCATATCTGCCTAGTCAGGAGGCTTTTCGGATGCTCAATGAAGCATTATACCTTGGGCCTTAGGGATCGGATTTGCTTAGCACCGCAAATGGAACGGAGTTGATCGTACATCTGCTGCGTCGTCAAATAGACCATGATCACGTCCTGACGTCCCAATGATAACGGCCCAAAGGTTATCGTTCCAGTGCATGTGGCCCATAGGCATTGTGCTTCCCTCAGACGTCATAGCCCAGTCACGTCTTGCTCCAGTTAATGGTCCTTGCCATGCTGGTTTGCCTACTAGGTATTGAAGCCCATGTGCGAAGGCAAGCAAAGTTCTCCGGGGGTATGAACTGTGAGATGGAAGTGGCTCTGAACCCGATTGCTGTAGTCATCGCTGTGCATATAATTTCATTCGCCAGCAAAGCGGTCGTTGCTTCGATATTCAAGGTCTCCAAAGACCCAATAATGTTGGAACAACAACTCTCACCCGCCAAGAGGCCCACAGATAGTGTTCCTGTCCGAAGAAGACAGCCGCATCTAATGCTGTAGGGCTGTGACGCACAGCTTGATATCGTTCGCTCCGTGTTTCCACTTTCATGATGCGCCGGAAGCTCGAGAGCCAAGCGAAAGACCGGCTTGCCTTGGGTCTTGGCCCGCAGTCAATCCAGCCCTAGAGGTCACTATTTAAGGCCCGATGTCATGCAGATTGAGGGCAACGGTTGCTGGGCTGAGATGAAGTGTTCTCGTCGCACGAAGGCCTGAGCATCAAGCCCTAGTAATACAGAAGGATCTTTCGATGGCTTTTGTCCTACGGTCTTGACGACGGCAACACTAGTTGAGCCTCGTCGACCGCCACCAGAGAGGCTGACGCTAGAATAAAATCATTATTCGTTGATGGAATGCAATATCGCGGTCTGTACTCGGTACGCATACTCGTCGGTCGACTCATTTGCCGTCTATCGTATTTCGGTAATAATGACAACGTAATAATAATTTTGTGCATACGGAGTGGATGCTTCCTGTAATCTGTCACTCGCTTGACGAATTACTCGCGCTCTTGGTTTCTGGAGACATCGGCGTCAGCGCTGTGATGGATACTGGCATGAGCGTCAATGTCGCTGTCACTCTGGCTGCCACTTTGACAGGAACACGCCATTCCCTGGTCTTGCGCCTAAGAACCCGCGTACTACATACATGAATTTGAAGACGCAAAGGCCGGTTGCGGGGATACAGTTTAAGAGCTTCTTGAGTCCTTTGCCGGGGCCCAAGCCCGGAGCCCGAGATGTCGGACACGTCAAGGGGCTGGCAGTGGGAATGGACTCGGAAGTGGTTCGGGCTGATGAGATTAAACCAGTCGTTGGCGGCTGGGCGCTACGGCGGGACCTCCCAGGCGCTTTGGTCAAGTTTGGGGGTGTTTGACCAGGAAGTCAAATTGACTAGGGCGGTCCGAAATTTGATGTCATGTCGAAATTGGCAGCGTCACGAAATGCCCCTTTTCTCCTTCTCTTTCTGCGACAAGGGGAATTGGTATTGGATTTTGGAGGGGTTGATGGAGATGAGAAGTGATTAGTCCGTAAGGTGGTAGCGCGGTTCGCGTGCGAGCTTGCGTGCATCGAGTTTTCGAGGGGTAGTGAGCATGACTTGGTCGAACGTTGATTGGGAAGCCGAAGAATGCTAGAAATGCCTTGTTCAATGTTAGTTCCAGGGTCTCATTTGAACAAAGGAGCGGCACATGATGCGGCTGTAAGCCAGACGTGTGCGTCATGTGGTGGCTGACGAATGACAAGCCATAGAAACACGCAGACCATATGGCAGCGGGATCCAGAGACTCAATACACAGCTGACTGGTTGACGAACCCCCCCCAAAAGACGGATATGACGAGAAGTGAAGAGGGATGGACCGGATCATTTGGTTCGTTTCAACTTTGAAGTTGGAGCGTAGACCCAAGAAGCTTGTAACTTTGCCGGCATGAAGGGGAGAAGTGGTAGGATGGGGATTAAAGGCATGTTTTAAGGTATGGTATGTGTTGGTGGGATGAAATGAAAGGCAGGCACGGCAGGCCAATGTACCTACTCCGTAATGCTAGGTAAATTAGCTGTCAAGACTCGGACGAGTTCGTGGAGGAGGGAAGGATCGTAAGGAACCTTGGTTCGTGATGTCCATTCCGGCCATTAGTTGGTAGGTGCACTAAGGTAATGCCGCATAGGCATTCACTGTATACGGAGTACCTAAGGTAAGTAGGTACTGGTAAGGTGCGAAGCAGTTACGGACAGTCGGTTAGTATCATGAGCACCTTCCTTTGCTTCCACAGGTTCCTTAGGTTGAGGTTGGGTATCCGTGAGGTAGGGAGACGGGAAGCTATCTTGGAGAAAGTAACGGAGGAAGTGAACGAGGGGCCTAGAGCAAATGACCTTGCCTTGTTGGTCGTAGTGACAAGTGGTGAAGGTGGGATTTCCAGGGTCGTGGAGAGCTGCACATGGAAGCCGCTCAAGGCTTAAGCCTCCAAGGAAGGAAGGAAGTTGGCTCCGACCTGGAAGCCGATGTCGTCAGGTACGGACAGCGTGCCTTTGTCGTCTACCTTAATTAGTGGCCGGGGTGGGCGAATGGATGGATGGATGCAGGCCAGCTGCAGGTGCATAGGTCCTCCGAAGACAAGGGATGGATAGATACTCTGCAGTATGCATGGTGGTGTCGGATACCCTCACCATCAAGATAGAATATGCCCATCTTTTCTTGCTCTCATGTGGCAAGTGCTCTATGTACTAGCGTTCTTTTACTTTGAGAGCCCTCCAATCCAGGCAGGACATGGAGTATGGACAGTACTCGCCAAACCAAGCCTCGAGGTGTATTTCGAGGTCAGTGTTCGCAAGAGTTCAGCCATTGACGAGGCTGCTACATGGTCTCAAACATGCCCCCTCCACTTCATGCTTTGCAACCATCTGGCTTTTTCGGGGCTCGCCTGTCAAGCCTGTTCCCAACTTTGCCGCTGGCCAGGCGTGGGCAAGCAAGCATCAAGAGAGGAGCTGAGGTGTCAGGAGCCTGGTTTATGCACTTCCATGCAACTTGCAGTGCGTGTATCCGTACGGAGTACTGCGTACCTTACTACGTAGAGGGTGAGAGCGTAAGGTAGGTGCTCTTTTAGATTTGGATCGCCTGTCCCGGTCGGGTCGCATGAACACTCCTTCTGCGCCCAATTGACTGGGTCTCGAGACCATTCCCTTTGCAGCTGATTACAGATGGCAACCTGGTAATTGCACAATCCACCACAGGACATAGGACCCAAAAAGACAGCAGGAGCAGATGCAGGACTCGAGGTACCTGATTTCCTGATGCGAGACTGCGGAGCCCCCGACGTACCTATTGTCTATCCAACCTCCGGATTGAGTCCGTCCACTTACCTTGGGGCAATCGCAACCCGCTTGCCTCCTTCCTTTAGATGCAATTCAACCACACTGGTTCCTCATTCTCAAGGTGAGGTATTTGTACAGAGAGATACCTTTCTCAAGCGTCATCATCTCAAAGAGTCCCGTTAGATTCTAAGATGTGTGAGGTAAAAGGAAGGTAGGTACCTACAATTATACCAGAGGTACCTAAACATGATATGGCGAGCCTTCCGTTCATTGCCCTCCCTCATTGCGCCTTCTCATGAACCTGCAGCAGATATAATTGGTAATTATCCGGTACACCGTCTCCAGGCCCCTCCCTCCTTACTGTGTCCGCATGTGTGTGCCGCCCGTACCTGGCCCCTTCCCCTTCCCGGCCTGTGATCTCCATGTGTGCCAACGAAAAATGATGCGCACCACCAGATGATGGCCCTGATGTCAGGCACCACACCTGCCCTGTCTTACATCTTCGTTCTGACTTCTCTCCTGCTCAGTCCTCCCCTCCTTATTTCCAACTTGCACTGTCTTGATCTGACCCCATCTGAATGGACCGTGACCAAACCAGGTTTGCCCACATCCGCCTGTCTCGCCTCTCCTCTTGTTGCTTCCCTCAACCTTACAAAGTCCAAGTCCATCCCGCATCCAAAAGCCTCCGCCGTTCCTGTCCCGACCTGACTTCCTTGTTCCTCCTCCCCTTCCAAGTTCCCGCCTCCACCTCTCCCACCATCTCCGATCCCCTTTTCCCTGCCGCTTGCAGACAAGACAACCACAGACGAAACAAATACTCGCCCACCTTCCTTCAGCTCTGCTCTCAGGTCTTTCTCTCCGGCGCATCAAAGATACCCCTCTCGACCTGTGCCTTACTCCATCCATCTTTCGCGACAGAACCACCAACGCACTTGTTCGACATCTTCCATCTTGCTTCTAGAGCATTGCATAGCCAACTCGCCTTACCGCCTCTTATCCACCATACATTACTACCCGCCTACTTGGATTACCACATCGGTGTGACAAGCACCCTGTCGACACTGTCAACCACTAACCGCTGATCATCCTCCCTTTTTGGTCGACCACGAACCCAACCGTCTCCAGTCCCTGATTGCGAGTCCTCTTTTCTCCCACTCGCAACCTCACAATCTCATCTCCTCTGCCTATCCGAAGCTTCTTCCTACATACGAAATGGCGCACAACATGACCGACGCTGAGCTCGACCTCGACTGGCAGCCCAATGGCCGCCGCCCTCAATCGTGCGTTCCAATGGCCCGCCTCAGTTAACCAAAAACCTTGCGAGATGCGTTGCTGACCCGCAGTCGCGCAGTACCATTGCTCGTTCCTTCTCCCAGGAGCTTGCCGACATCTTCCGCCTCGACGAACCCGTCACAGACGAGAAGCTTGACCAACGGTATGTAGAGCCGCATCACCCTGAATCATGTTTCACCTTACGACATACAGCTTTACACCAAAAGGCGTAAAGTCAGAAAACTAAGAGAATCGTTACAGAAAGCAGAATGTCCAGAGCCAGACAAGCGAGCTTGAAGCTCTCGAGCGTCGCATCCGCGAGATGGAGGAGCGGTTGAAGAACAACAACGTCAACAAGCAAGCCGCAACACAGCCTGCTGCTGCCGCGGGAGATGCTGCACCAGCATTGTCAAAGGAAGCCCAAGAGAAGGCCAGGTCACGACCAGGTACGGCGCGCCAGAACCAGCCTCATGCCCCGTCTTCGGCGAACATGCCGCCCACGCCTACTGCCAGCGAAGGTGAATACGAATTTGTCGGCAAGGATGACCTTGACGACCACCCACCCCGACACTAGATCGCTGCATGTTTCCCACACAACCCATATAAATACCCATGATACCACGTCCCGCCCAATTCTGCTCTTTCTTCCAGCACCACCGCCTCTACCGAGAAAATCACCAGCCAAACATGTAATTGAGATCACGGAAATGCTGACTGTTGCTTCTTTCTGCTCACTCAGACGGCGACCGTGACCAGGCATGAGGGTAGACTTGCCCTTTCAAATTGCACAACCAGACTACTTGCACCGGCTCGAGCTCATTCTCGCATATACCCGCACTCCTCGATTTAACGCCTTCACCAAGCTATAGTAGCAATGTTGCACTCTCGGCTTGAGCATGACTGAAAGGGGTTTTACCTTTGGCATGTACCCATGCCGGCTACCACAACCCGTGACGGGGCGCCGCTCGCTACATTTCCCAGAGCGCTTCCTAGACTTGGAAGCATGGATTCTTCAGCACCCCGATATGTTTTTGCAGTTGGCTTTTCTTCTCTTGCGAGCCTGAGTGGTTACGCATTTTTCACCAAGTTTATGGAGTTTGAGCATGCCTGAGCGGACAATCCAAGATGGATAGGCTGCCTCTGGTCATTGATGGCACGTCCCTGAGAGAAGAGGGATATCTGTATATACCAGACGAAGAAGTGGAAATTCACCTCTACATTGCCTCAATCGTTTTGGGATGCACAGTGAGCATTTTCCACGGCTGCCTAGTCACAGTATCCTCGGGGTTTCAAACTACACGATAAGCCTCACTTTGTGCAAATTCCGGATTCTTTTAAGAGTTGTGCATCTGCGCGCACGCGGCATCTCATTTTTGTGGCTCTCTTCTGGCCAGAACTGTGCACGCGAATGGATAAACTGATTATTCTAACTAGCCGACACCTTTAGGATCTCTACGGACGCCACTGGAATGACATATTGGACTCTCTTCCAACCCTGGCTAACGAAGTAGCCTTTGCCTCGAACTCCTATGATTGACAGGCTGTCGTGGTCGCGCAAACATCATACGAACTCTTTTGTCCAAAGCTAACAAAGGTTCCTGAAGCTCCATAATTCAGTTGGATGAACATGCTCTTGAGCGCTACGCCTCCAAAGATGGAACGATCAGTTTCACTCTTCTGGATCCCACCAAAGCACATGTCGGAGCTCCCGGGCGCAGGGCCAAGATTGATAGACTCCTTGAGAATTGTGCCCACGTAGTCACCTGCCGTAAGGAAGAGCATGTCAGGAATGCTTGCGGCCGAGGCGCAGGGGAACACCCAGGCTTTCAGCTTTGGGTCGTGAGCCGAGTCGGGGATGCCGGCGTAGTAACTGGCAACCATGTCGCCAGGAAGAAGCACAAAACTACTTCCAGTATCGATGGTAGCAATGGTACGCTTCTTGAACACGTTCCACTGCTTGCTGTCCATGGTGCTCGTCCGCGTTCCCTTGAGTTCGAAGCTCCAGTGCTCGTCGTCGTCCACGGGCGGCTCGTTGGTCTCCACTGTGCCCAAGGCATATCCAAAGGAGAAGAAGCCCTTGTTCGAATTGGCTCGGATGTCGATACCGATCCATTCGTAGTGCAGCGCCGGCTTGAGACGATCGAGCATGGACGGCATGCTGGGCTTGACGGACGAGGGCTTACTCTTGGCGAGACCCATGACACCGCTGATCTTGGGTTCGGCGGCCCACCGCGGGGCGACGTTGACGGCGGATTGGATTGTTGTGTTGGCGATGGTGAAGTGGTTGTTGTCCGTCACCAGGCCGAAGCCGACGGTGTCGAAGTACACCTTGCCCGAGCTGGTGGACTTGTCGACTGTAGTGGTTGCGTGTTAGTTGGGATCTTTTGGAGGGGAGGGATGAAGGGAGAACGTACTGTACGATGACTCCCAAGATGCGCCAGGGACCTCTTGACTCGACACCGACTTTGCGGGGTCGTAGAGCGCGGGCTTGCCATTCACGGCTTCGTCGCCGAATTCGGTGTCGGAGGTCATCAGCCAGCTGTTTCATCGTGTAAGTCGGGGGATTTCAAGAGTTCGAGGGGCGGAAGGTACTGACAAGTCGGAAGATGCTGTGTCGATGATGACGGGCATCTTCTGCATCGCCGACCCGACGAAGACGTCTGTCAGCCAGTAAAAGTCATTGCTACTTTTTGCGGCAACGACGGCGGCTGGGTATGTACAGGTCAGCTCTGCATGTGCCTTCAGTGCGTTTCCGACATCGAGGGATAGGAAAGGATAGAAAGGGGGGGAACGGGGAGAGGGGGCAACTTACATTCGTATCCCTCGCGCCGAATCAACATGTTGTGGTTGGCGAGGGACTCCGGAACGGGCATGTCCCACCGCTCGTAGGCGGCTGCGAGGGCGGCCGGGCCGTCGAGTATGAAGTCCGGGTTCGATCGGGCGGAGACCGTGAGGGTGCTGGTGCTGCGGCGTTCGAGGTCTGGTAGCTCGGCGTGTTGCTGTGGTTGAGGACCGGTCGGGATGGCGAGTGCCAATGTCGACCATAGCAGTGGGACGGCAAGGGAGGGGATCATCGTTGCGTGTTGTCAGATGTTTGGCGGGTGTTGAATTCAGATTTTGAAGACCTTTGATCTGGATGAGGATGCCAGAGATGTTTTCTTTTGGAAACGGGGGAGAGGGATATTGTCCTTCTATATATATATCCTATCTTTGAATGCATCTGGATTTGCTTTTACGAATGTTTGATTCTCTTTTTTTCCAGGGACAAGTGTCGACAAGGCAGTATGTTTGTTTCGTACCGAGACTTGGTGCTAGCGAAACTAGTGACGATGTTGCAACACGATCTTGTTTGTTGTTTCTCTCTTTTCTCAGCCTCTCTAACTCTCTCGCGTACTTCCCTTTGCCTCTCTCCTACCCCCCTTTGTCGCCTTACTTCTACCGTTCCTTACATGAGAGTGCAACATGTGTCACTCCGCGGATCTTGGGGGCGGCGGCCGGGGACGAAAAAAAAATGCCGGGTTGTGCGGATACCCGTCTTTACCTTTTTTGATTGTCTTGAAGAACGAGAAAGAAGCACAAGATAGCACAAAAGGAAGAGAAAGTCGAAGAATAGGAATGGCCGGAAGGGAAGCCGACGGGTTGATGTTACCGAGTTTTTGGTCATGGGGTTCCATTCTCTGTGTATTTGGACCTTTTGCCAGTATCCCCTCCAGTTTCTCCCTTACATCCTCATCATACCCATGGTGACTCAAATGAGAGATTGATGGGCAGTTTGGAGTGAGACTTCATCACAAGGGGTGCGGGGGTCTCGCCTTACACCGGTGTACACCGAACGTCGAAGGTGAGAGGGCAAACGCCAGACTTGGGGCTCCGCCACGATGTATTTGTGGTGATGATGGTGACAGACTGCGATGATGAGACCTAGGGGGGGAAGGAGCTAGCCATGCGAGAGGTGTAATGTACAACAAATTGTAGCCTCGGCCACGTAGAAATAGTCTTTCTACAAGGAAGGAAACGTCCGAGGATTGCACCGGATCGCGTGAGGCTGGCGGAATTACATTCGGGAGCCACATCTCTTCTTCCCCGGGGCGATACAAGATCATAAAGAAGGCTGAATCCAGTCCATGTGACTTTTGGACTTTTCGGCGATATGTTGGGTGATACGGGATCAATGTATGCGCTCTGCCGACGGCAAAGTGGGCGATGCTGGTCGTGTTACCGTTGCTTCTCTCGCGGTTTTGTCTTGTTTACTCGTCCACTATCGTAGTAACGAGTTTGGGACAACCTCCTGATCATGAGATTGCGAACGTAAAGCACTCGGGGAACGAGTCGGACGGTGGCAAGATGAGGTGGCGGTGCTATCCTTTGTAGAACGTTTGATGATGTTGAAAAGATTGAAGGACTGGCTCACCGTTACCGATGATTATTCGCGATTGCGCAAAACCCTGCGCTTCAATGTCCGAGTTTGCTTTGCTCGTGGCCATTTGTCCTCGGATATTCAGCTGCCTGACTCGACTCTCATGTGGCACGATGTGAAGGGTTCCTGCTGCTGCTGCTGCTGGACCATGTGAACAGCGGGATCCGTCGAGATCGAGGTAGGAGAAACGTACTAGTTGAGGCGAAACTGACGTTCATGACGTTGTCCGCCTCGTTGTCACTCAGCCCGCACGAGAAGACAGTCACGATTTGCAAGGCAAGTTGGCAGTCATCTTGATTTGTCTGTAATTTCATTTCATCTGTAGAAACGCCTAGGTATGGTATGCGCAAAAAAAACTTCAACTCTCTCCCCCAATCTACAATCCATCCAAGTGTCTCTAAAGCTCGTCGTGCTCCAGCGCATCATCCTGCTCCTGCTCCTTGGCGGCGGCCTGCTGGGCCTGCTGAGACTGGTCAAACTTCTTGAGAATCTCCTCAATCTCCGCCTCGCTGGGCGTGTCGCCGTCGCTGCCGCCAAATTGAACGTAGCTTCCGCCACCGGGAAGCTCGACGGTCCGGCCAGCGGGGGCTTCACCGGCGGTTGAGCTCTTGGAAGGGATGGTGGTAGTAGACTTCTTGCCGTCCTCGGGAGAGGCGGTCGCTGAGGTCGAGGCGGTGGCGGTGGACTTTGTCTTCTTAGCCGCCTTGGCAGCCTTGCTTGCCTTCTTGGTCTTGCCCTCCATGTTCTTGACGCCCTTCATCGCCAGGTCCATGCCCGCCTTGTCGAGCTTGTCACGCTTGGCCTGGAGATCCTTGACAAGGAGGACGGGGTCCGCAGTCGCGGCAAGGGCGTCCTGCTTCTTTTCCATCTCATTGAGCCACTTGCTGGTGGTCTCGTAGACGTCCTCGACGACTTCGATGTCCTCACGCTTGTACAGGGGCGGGACGGGGCCCTTCTCCTTCACGACGTCCTCCATCGTGCGTTCCTTGCCGGTTGAGTCGTCGTCCTCGAGACCGTCAAAGTCGCCAGAGGGAGTTGCTGAGGGGGTCTCGGTAGAGGTGCTGGAAGACTCGGTGGCTGCTGAGGCGTGCCACTCATCGTACTCTTCAATCTGCTTCCTGATTGTGCCGACAAAGGTCTGGGTGGAGTTGAGGGCTTCCTTGAGAGCCTTGATGAGCTCAGGGCGCTTCTCGGACTCCTCACTTCTCTTCTGGATCTTGGTGACGGGGTCGTTGAGCTCCTTGTACTTCTTCTTGAGCTCATCGCGGGACGCGTCGGCGCCCTCCTCGTACAGCCAGTCACTTGCCTCGCTGTTCTTCTTCTCCAAAGTGGCACGCTCCTCGGCGGTGGAGGCTGCGATGAAAGAGTCGCTCTCGAGGAGATCGCGGACCTTGTAGGTGAAACCCTCGAGCTGGTTGAGAGCCTCCTCTCTCAGGCGGCGGGCCTTGTCTGAAGCCTCAAAGGCCTTGAGGCGGTCCTTGGACTTGACAAGCTCCTCACGGGAAAGCTCAGGCACACCGGCCTTCTCAAGGGTGAGTTCAACGTTGATGGTGACGAGCTCCTTCTTCTTGGGGGCGGGCTCCTTGCCATCGGCCGCTGCGTCACTGGGAACGGGCGACGAGGAGGCGGTGGTAGACTCCGTCTTAGTCGAGGCGGTAGTAGAGGACTCAGATCCCGTGGTTGAAGACTCTTCGTCCTCCTCTCCATCAAGAGGCTTCTGGTCTCCCTTCTTGTTGCCAAAACCGAACAGGTTCTTGACGCCGTCGACAAAGCCCTCCTTCTCGGGGGCCTCGGCCTCGCACTCAACGGTAGCTTTGGTGACCTCAACCTCGCCGCTCTCACTGCTCAGCTTGACGCCGACCTTGAAGTGAATATCGCTGTCAAGGCAGGAGTACTTCTCCTTCAGCTCCGCGACCGAGGCGGTAAGGTTCTTGGTAGAGAAAACCTTGACATCCTTCTCGGCAGCCTCAACGTACTGGTAGAAAGTGACATCAAAGTCCTCGTGGTTGGTAAAGGTGACGTCCTTGGGAACGCCGCCCTGAGGGGAGACGGGAGACCACAGGCGCTGGTGCTGGAGCTTGTTCTTGTTGTTGGTCCACTTCATGCCAGAGGCGTAGTTGGCGCCCTCGGAAATGCGAATCTCCTTGACACGGAAGCTAGGGCTCAACTCGGCAGCGCGGAAACCGGCACCGAATACGGCGGCCTCGTCAGAGTTGACGTTGCTGCGAAGCTTCTCGGCGGAACCAACGGCTTGCTCCAGCTGCTTCTGAACAAAGGGTGTTCGGGAAGCGCCGCCGTGGAGAATGACAGAGGTCAGGTCAGAGAGTTCCAGCTGAGCAGCCGTCAGAGCTCTCATGAGAACGGCTTCAGCACGAAAGGCGTGTGTCTCGGCCATCTTCTCGAAATCAGACCGGGTGAGCTTGTACTTGAAGTCGACATCCTCGTAGAGCCCCTCGAAGCTCGCGCCGGCCTGCTGGTTGGCGCTGAGGACATGGCGCAAACGCTCCGCCTCCTTGGTCAGCTTCGCGATGGCGCGGCCATGGGCCTTGACCTTGTCGGCATCGGCAGAGATCTTCTTTCCACCCTTGGACTCGACAAACTGGGCGACCATGTCGTCGACAATGAGGTAATTGAGTGTGTCACCGCCCAGAGTCCTGTCCCAGCCAGTGCCGATGACGGAAACCTCCTGGATGGTCTTGTTGAACTTGCCAACATCTTTGACCGTACGGCCCTGGAACTTCATGACAGTGGCCTTGGCGGAACCGGCACCCATGTCGAAGACCAGGTGGTACTCAGGCTTGCCTCCCTCGTTGATGTTGGGGAACTGGCGGGAAGTGGCGTAGTTGAGACCAACGGCGAGACCGTCGCTGATGAGACTGAGGACCTTGAGACCAGAGAGATCGGCGGCGGCTTGGATGGCGCGCTTCTCCTCGGTTGTGAAGTAAGGAGGGACCGTCAGGACCATGGAGCGGACAGAGGTACCAGCTCCAGCAGCAGCCTCGGCGTTCTTCTGGATGCTCTGCAGCTCCATGGCCAAGAGCTCCTCAACCAGCCATGCCTCCTCTTCCTCGGTAAAGACCTTGCTCTTGAAAGCAGCGGTTCCTCGCGCCTCGTTCTTCTCGAGCTGCAGGGCTGGGTGCCGGGCAGCGTATTGTTGGACAATCGGGTCGTCGACGGAGAGACCGAGGAGGGTCTTCAGGTTGGGGTAGACATCGTGAGGAAAGCGGGCGGAGAGGGCAATGGCGTCGGAGCCGTAGAGTCTCTCGGGGTAGGATCCGGACTTGGGGCCGCTCTGGAGAGGCTTGAAGGTGACGGCGGAGATTTCCTTGCGCCGTGAGTCCTTGGTCAGGACAATGTCGAGAGGAATACCGGGCTTGACGAGGGCAGCTTTGATGTACTCGGTACCGAGATCAACGCCAAGGACGGCGGAGACGGCAAAGACGTGTGCGGAAAAGAAGAAGACGCAGCCAAGGACTACTGTCAATGGCGAGAATGTTCGTTGCGCCATCGTGTATGGTTTGCGCCCAATGGCGCTGTGGAGGGTCGTCTAGGCAGGTTCGTGTGAGAGTGACAGAGGTCGAAACTAACACGGATTGTTAGACAAGTCCCAGTATGAGACTCGAGACGCAAGAGTATTGTAAATCTAGAGAGCGAGGAAAACCCAAAGACAAAAGAGGAGAGTTCAAAAAAAGAAGGAGAGGTTCCTCGAGACAATGGCGACCCAGGAGCACAAATATGAACAACGGAGAGTCGTTGAATGGAGATTCGTGAAGGTGTCCTCTATTGGGTTCGGTACCGTTCTCCCCCCCAGACTGGGTCCAGGTCGTCCTCGGGCAGGGTACCTTCTAGTGGATTACCTGTCCTGGCGAAGAGGACAGCTGTAAGAAAAAAAAGTTGTGGCGCCTTCCCCCCAAATGCAAGGCTGACCACACGATAAGCTTTCCATTGGTGCGATAAGAATAAGCACTGGGATTTGTGGCAGTTGTCCCGAGAATAGTGGGGCTTGAGATCCACTCGGTGCTCTCAAGCCACATTAAAGGGGCCAACGCCCAGCTTCCCATCTTCTATTCCTGTTTGACCAAGCAACTCATGGACACTCTTTTGGACTGGGGATTACCTAAAGGTTACGTGGATTATGACACCATCACGGAGCGGTCAGTCACCGCAGATCCAACGTGTTAGTATCGGCCTGCTTGTGGACAAGTGTCCCCCAGCAGCTCATACTGTCTTATCCCATTGCCAAAAGGACAGTCTTACATCGGAGTTGTTTGTAGGATGGGGCACTTGCACAAGAGACAAGGCAGACTTTCTTAGCACAAGACAGTTGCTCAAATTCCATGAGGAATATGAGACAGCCAGCCCATTTCGAGTCGACCAGGCATACTACTTCCGATGTGAAAGGGCCTGGCTGAAAGGTAGAATGCTGGACCTCCATCTGAATGTTTCAGTCTGGAATCACATACTAAAGTGAGAATCTGAAGTTCAATTCTCATATGAAAGACGTTGCACACTTGACACTAATTACGGCTACTTACTCCCACCAAACACCCTCCTCGATATCATCCGAAATCGAAAACACAAGCTCTTTGAGTTCCCTTTGCCGTTCACATCATTAGAGATCGCGGGGTAATAAAGCTACAGTGGGGCAACTGATGGCGGGGTACAATCCAGCTTCCCTTGCATAACCTCCCAGCTGCAACCACACCAACCGACAAGGAACAAGAACTGCCATCAGCATATCACGGTGGAATACCTCGGGGATTTTATCCCTTAGGAGGCTTCGACTTCAACAGTCGCTCAAGTGGAGGCCAATCGGTCACCATGGCTCATGTGGATAATGAAGTCAGAGGCAGACTGGCGTTGGTCACGGGTGCCTCTGGTGGGTGAGTTGAGGCGACAACCTCCTTCAGCGAGTTCGTACCTGATAACCTCAGAATCGGAGGAGCCTGCGCTCGAGAGCTCTTTAAAAATGGCGCGCGTCTAGCCCTGACATGTTCATCCGAGAAGACCTTGGCCAAAATTACAGACCTCGCTACTAAGCTTCGGAACTCAACAGACGACGACACTGACGTTACATGTCATGTAGTGGATATGTCTTCCGCCACGGACATCGAAAAACTCTTTCAGAATATCATGGATGAACACGGCCACACCCCCGATATACTTGTATCCAACGCCGGCACGGCAGGATTCAACAACAAAGCCAACCCCTACCTCAAAAACATTTCCCTCGAAGAGTTCGACTTCACCATCAACATCAACCTCCGCGCCTCCTTCTTGCTGTGCAAGCTCGCCATGCCGCACATGGTCTCCCAGGGCTGGGGCCGCATCGTCTTTGTGTCGTCCATCTCGGCTATTGGAGGTGGCATCAACGGCTGTCACTACGCCGCGAGCAAGGCCGGCATGACGGGCCTCATGAAGAACCTCGCGTCCAAGCATGCCAAGGACGGTGTCACGCTCAACGACGTCGCGCCGGCTATGATTGGCGACACGGGAATGATTCCCGATGAGAAGCGCGTGGAGGGCACGCCTGGTGATGTGAAGAATATTCCTGTCGGACGGCTTGGGACGCCGCAGGAGTGTGCTAATGTTGTGTTGATGCTGTGTAAGACTGGATATTTGACTGGCCAGAGCATCTTATTGAGTGGTGGGCTGAAGTAAAATCTTGACATCGTTTTTCTCACTTATATTTCCGTGGATATTGATTGCTTGTAGTACTATTGATACAGCTATAATGAAAGTGGCCCTGAAATATGATATCCAAGTCAACCGCGCAGCTATGGACAAGAGGGCCATCACACTCTATGACGTTCACTGCCGCCAGGAATAAAGCTCATCTCGTGCATATATTCAAGGTGCAAAAATCATCTCTGCGATGGAAACACTCTACATCTTCACATTTTTGCGGTTTTGTGATTACTCTCCCCGAATTCGGCCGTACTTTGGGTTTCTGCGGGGTTGTTGTCAGCTGCCAGGCCGCGGCGTAATTCCCGATGTGTGATTACATATGATCTTCATCAGTGTCAAACGAAACAGACCCATATTCGTTATCCCATTCCCCCAAAACATCCTCTTCGTGAAGTTTTCTAACTAGCGTAACCCCTCAACCAAGAAGAGAACATAGCTCTAGTAAGACGTGATTGTATCCAGCAACATTTGACGGGACTTACACACAATGCCTCTCTACGAGGTATCTCACGCCACCCCTCTAAGCCAAGGCCAGAGGGATCAGCTCGCCGAATCCATCACCGCAATACACAACACCAAGTTCACCGTCCCGAGAATGTTCATCAACGTCATCTTCACAGACTCATCAAACATCCCAACCTACGTCGGCGGGAAACAAGTGAGACCCCATTCTTCCGTATGTAGACAATCACATCTACTAATCCTCAAATCGCAAACCCCATCGCAAATCAAACCGCATCGTCGGGCGCGTCCGCCGGGGATCCTCCCGGACGCAGGAGGACTTCAGCTTGTTATGCTACGAGATCCGAGCCGCGTGGGCTCAAATCGTGCACCCGGAGACGGCAGATGAGGGAGGCAAGCTGCCGCCTCAGGATCTGGAACTGAGGTCGGTCTTTATTACCGGGGAGCTCATCGCCGGGTTGAAAGCCAGTTTCCCGACACCATCGGCTGGCGATGAGCTTGCGTGGGCTGGGGAGAATTACGCAGCATTCAAGGAGAGGGCAGAGGCGGGAGATGAGGATTTTGCGGATCTTGTTGCTGAGATTCAAAGTTGGCCAGAGTTTGAGTTTTGAAAATATTTAGTGTGATCTTATTGACGGCATGTAGGAGGAGCTCAGAAAACTACACCATCACTCGTAATATGCATTCTGCTTTCACATGACATAATTAGCCGAGTCAGTCGAATTTGATAAAAGCCAGTCGCCATACCACAGAACCCATCTTTTCTACAGCCATGTAAGCATATCCTCGTTTTGGATGACAAAAGTTGGATCTCTGCTGGGGGTTTGGCCTGAGATTCTGTGAATAGGATGGCATCTCTCGCAGACCGAAACAGGTAGGCCCCTTTGGCCACCATGGGCCTACCGACGCCTCTAGACGCTTATTCCATGGTGAATCATATCCAAATTGAGACCGTCAGGGTGTACTCATGCTTCGATTCACTGCCGCCTTCGCCCATCGCAGAGAACTATAGTTGCTCCCTGCCACGCTAATCACCTCAAGTCCCTCCATCTCAAAAGAACCGACTCGAACTTCTCAATGGCGCGTCTGGTAAGAAAGATCCTTCAGCCTGTGATATCCTGTTGATTTATATAGTCAACCACAACGGAGCAGGACTATAGTCTAGAGGTACTAGCTAGCTACCTAGTCCTCTCAAATATGGAGAGCATAGAATCAATAGTCATATTAAAGATATTCTCTTTAATGAACGCCCCTTTGCACCTCAAAGAAGCTGCGTATATAGGATGTTGAGTTGCTAGTAATGAAAGTAGAAGGAGTACTTGATGTTTGTTTGGTAGTCTTATTGTAGGCCGTTAAGAGCACTACTACCTGGGGAAATATCTAATTCTGTAAAGCACCACGCCATCACTTCTCCGCTGAGAAAGACATGGTAAATCAAATACGCACTTACACAGCCGCGGTGTCTTTCCCACGTTCTAACCTCAGACCCATAGGCTGACCACTTCTTCCCGACAACCGTACCCGGAGGGCAGGCACGGCGAAGCCAACCGTACCTGCCCAAAACCTTCATCCCATAATCTTCCATTCCCGCCCGGAATACGCACCAGGCAGGCAGAAGCCCTTCATATACCCCTCCAAGTCCATTCCAGTCACCAGCCAGCAGGCGCCCGTCTAGGTCGACGGGTCAGGTCAAACTGGCTGGGTGGTGGAGTGGTTTAGGGTCGACAATCAAAATCGCCAACCAGCCTACTCGACGACATGCTAAGCGCATACGAGTACCCGAGTTCGAGTCCCGGATTGAGCACCCAGAAAAACTCCCAGCATGAGCGCCAGAGATGTAGCACCCAGTTCAGCACCGGGGGGGGGTGAACTCTTTTTCTATTTCTGTCAATGTTGATATCCTTTTTCGGTGGTGTTTTGGTCGTTTGTATAAGGGGGGCCGGCTGTTCTCCCTTCCACCTACGTAAATATACATACATCTGTTACATCTCTACTCGCTGGAGGTGACGTTGTTTGTTATTTCCCCAGACGTCTTTTTTTATGTACAAGTGGATTATTTCGACTAGATAATTGTAGATGGGACACCTCTCTGCCCCACACACACTTAGTCACTTGCGTGATTTGCATAAAGTCATTGAATGATGTAAGATTGGTATCATTGGATTAACTATTTCTCTTTCTCTCGGTCTCGCACCGTACACGATCGTCGGGTCTATCAGGCGTGTGGATATCTTTTGGTTTTGATGGTAAAATTTATCGTACAGGGGGTGGTTATGTCGTATCTCTCGATCGGTCCAAGGAAAATAAGGGCAAGAGTACAGGTCGGATCTCGATCGGTTCGGGTCATTCGTAACATTGAAGGGTAGAAGAAAACAAAAAAGCCAACACACGCTCAGATAGACAAACAGGGCTGGATGCCCCTCACACCGAAGGGGCACCCAATGCAAATTGAGAGGCTCACCGCGGAAAGTCCTGGTAGCGAGGACCTACCCCGGGTTCTTCTCAAATCTCTCAGTCTTTACGACTCTCCTCCTGATCGCGTTCTCCATCTGTGTTCCGGCTGTCGTGCGACACCGGTCGCTCAACAGGCGACAAGCCTCCAACACTAGCCGCCAAGATACCGGGCATGCCTAGGGCGGCCTTCATCGGCGACGCGCTATGTCTGCTCGACGATCTGGACCCGCTTCGGCTGCGTGTTCTCTCACGGTACTCGCGGGGCTTCATGATAACTTCGCTGATCTGGCTGATTCTTCCTCCCTTGATGCGCTTGAGGAAGGCGAGATCGTCTCTGATCTCGAGCAGGGCATCCTTGACGCCGCCGGCGCCTAGGCGCTCGCTGTCCTCCTCGTCCGTCTTCTTCTTGCGCTTCCACTTGGGGATCTTGGACCACACCCACGCAAGGGGACTGACGATGGCGACGAACCACGAGTCGGGGAAGAGGCGGATAAGGACACCGACGGGGATGGAGATGATGCCGAGGACGATGGAGATGCCCCATTGCGGTCCATTGAGCTTCTCGACCTTGAACGCGGCGCCGCCGACGAACACGATAAGGACCTGGCCGCCGGCCATGATGGACATCATGAGAGCGAAGAGCTTGTTCTTGGTAATGCCCTCGAAAATGTTGAGGTTATTGTCGATGCGTCTGGAGTTGATCAGCTTGAAGATTTGCATAAAGACGAAGACGTTGAAGACGAGCGTCTTTTGCTGGCCAGTAGGGTAGTTGAGGAAGCTGGGGCCGACAAAGTGGAGGATCAGGGTGACGATGAGCTGGTAGATGGACTGGCCGATAATCATCTTCCACATGGGCGTGTTGATCAACGCGGCGGTCTTAGCCTCGGGCTTGCGGTGGAGCATGCTCTCGGTAGGAGGATCGGTAGCGAGGGCGAGGGCGGCGAAGGTATCCATGATGAGGTTAACCCAGAGAAGCTGGACGGCGTTCAGAACGGGCTCTTGGGTCTCGCTGCCCACAGCGGTGACAAAGGTGAGAACGACAGCAGTGATGTTGACTGTGATCTGGAACTGCAAGAACTTCTTGACAGCATCGTTGATGGCGCGGCCCCAAGCCATGGCCTTGACGATTGACGAGAAGTTATCGTCCATCAAGATGATATCGGAGGCTTCCTTGGCGACTTCAGTTCCGGTGATGCCCATGGAGAACCCAACATCCGCAGACTTCAACGCAGGCGCATCGTTCGTGCCGTCGCCAGTGACGGCAACAACCTCGCCCAAACTTCGCAAAGCCTTGACCAGAATTCTCTTGTCTTCGGGGCTAGATCGTGCCAACACACACAGATCTCGAACAATGTTGACACGCTCACGATCGTCCATGCGGCGGAACTCGATTCCCTCCATAACCTTGCCCTTCTCTGTCAGAATGCCGCAGTCCTTGGCGATGGCTTTCGCCGTCTCGACATTGTCACCGGTGACCATCTTGACGGAGACAGAGGCGGTCCGGCAGTCCTCCACGGCCTTCGGAACGCCAGCACGGACGGGATCCTGGATACCTACAACACCGAGCCACGTCAGGTTCTTGAAGATACTGGAGAACTCGATGTTCTGGGAGCCTTCCTCCTTGCGAGCGTTCTCGGGAGGCCACTGCTCGAAGTCGCGGTAGCCAAGGGCAATCGTGCGGAGGGAGCGACGGGCGTAGTCGGTAATGATTTGACGGATGTGCTCCTGCTGATCCGATGCCATTGAGGCAGTCGTAGGGGACTTCGTAGGGTCGGAGACGGCGCTGGTGCATTGTCCCAAAAGGATCTCAGGGGCGCCCTTGACGAAGAAACGGAACTTGTTGTTCGGGAGGCGCACAACGGCACCCATGGCCTTTCGCTTCGAGTTGAATGGGAAGAGCTGCTGAACAGGGCAGTTTTCACGTTCGATGGCAATTTGCTGAAGGGCAAAGCATCGGCGAGCCCAGTCGAGCAGGGCGGTCTCGGTTTTCGTGCCTACAAATACCTGCTTTCCGTTCTCCTCCGTTTCGAAAGCAGTCGTGTTCATCGCAACGGACTGCTTGACAAGATCTCTGAAGTCCCCGTCGATTGCGGATGAAAGCTTGGACATTGGTACTTCGGTGGAAGCTTGGGACTTCTTGTCATCTCCAGTAACATGTACGTCCGACTCCCCATCCTCCTGACCGGTCTCGGTTGATTGATCGTCAGAGGCAACGAAGCGGAACTTGCCAGTACCCAAAGTGCCGGCGACGACAGTCATGACATTCTCCGTCAGAGTACCAGTCTTGTCAGAGCAGATGACAGTCGCATTACCCATCGTTTCGCAGGACTGCAGGTGACGGACGAGGTTGTTCTCCTTGGTCATCCGCTTTGTAGCGTAGGCGAGGGCAAGAGTGACGGCCAGGGGCAAACCTTCAGGCACTGCAACGACGATGATGGTGATGGATGTAATGAGAATCTGCAGGAAGCGTTGGCCCTTCTCCTCGGGTGAGTCTCTATTGTTAGGAAGATGAGCCAGGAATTCGATCGTCAAGACACCAAGAAGGAGAAGACCGGCACCACTGCCGAGCTTCGCAATGTAACCTGAAAGTGTTGTTAGCACACTGGCCAGCAAGATCAGAGAATTAACTTACCCGCAAGAATGTTCAGCTTGAGCTGGAGAGGAGTCATTCCAGGATCGTCACGGAGGGACATCATGGTCTTGCCATGGCTTGAGTTCTGACCGACAGCAGTGACCAAAAACGTTCCAACGCCATCCAGAACTCTCGCTCCAGATATAATGAAAGGGTCAAGCTTCTTGGGGTTCACTTCCTCCTCGTGCAGCGCCCTCATGACGGCGTCTGCCGGTACCTTCTTGATCAGATCAGACTCTCCAGTTGCAGACGATTCATCGCAGCTGACATTGTGCCCATCGATGAAAATACCATCCACAGGGATGATGTCACCCTGCTCCAAAAGCATGACATCTCCAACGAGAATATCGTGAACCGAGAGGTTGGCGGGCTTTCCGGATCGAATCACCTTGACAATGCGGTCCTCCTTCTTCTGGTTGAGCTTCCGGAATTGCCGCTCCTTTTGCCAATCATTGAGTGAACCGACGACCACGACAATCGTGATGGCGACGATAATGGCAACACCTTCAACCCACTCGAGCTTGG